TGTGTGCGAGGATGCATGCATATCCCCACCTGCCCTCCTAGGCCATGGCCCCTGCCACCTTCCCTGATGTGAGGGGCTACCAGGCAAAGAGGTCCTGAGCCTGTCCCAGCCCAGGGCCCCCAGGCTTTTGTGGGACAGGTCCTCTTAGAGGCACATTCCTGCCTGTCATAGAGTGGGCAGAGCCACAGAGCCGCCTCCTAGGCTGCTGGGGTGATCCTGGCCAGTGGTGTCAGGTTCCTGGGTGCAGGAGCCCTCCCTCTGCAGTTTCTGAGGGCCTTTGTTGGAAGTTCAGACAAACTTGTCAGGGGGGCGGGCAGGAGGCCTCCTAATCGGCTTTCCCAGAAGCAAAAGGAGAATGAGAGATTAGGGGTGGGGGGCTCCAGCCCAGGGCAGCTCTGTGGGAAAGATATGGGGAAGGGGTGCCCGCCCTAAAGGGGTCCATCCCCCAGGGCCTTCAGCAGGTGTCCCTAAGGGCCCTCAAGGAACCAGACCCCCAGGTTGAAAGAACATGAGGCCAACGCCTGGTTAAAGGGGGAGAAGCTTTGGAGAGAGCCCTCTTGCCTTTCCCATCTCACCGCCATGGGCTGCCTGGGCACTTACTGCATGCTGGACACATTACTGCTCACCTTCTAGGCCTCCCCCCACAACATCTCCTCTTTATCTTATCTGAGCCTCCCAGGAAGCAAGCAGGCTAGACATGGTTATTTTCCCATTCAACAGAAGAGAAAATTGAGGACAGGAAAGGGGCCCACAGTAAATAGCAAATGGGACTTGGCTTGTCCTGACTCCGTCAGTAAAATGCTCTGCATCACAGCCAGCATTTCCTGGAGGTCCTGACCTCAGGCTTCTCTCTGTGTGATCTCATCTAGTAAAGTGGATTTTTTTGCCATGTCACTATTGACAACCACCAAGTTCAAGAGCGTGGTTTCCAAGGTTAGCCAGGCCCATACTTTGGTTGACCCATTACTAGTTTGTGGTTTGAGCCAAGCTATTTAACCACTCTGTTCCTCTGTTCCCCCCCCCCTTTTTCTTTTTTTTGGTTTCCCCATTTGTTAAATGGAGATAATAACAGTGCCTACCTCACAGAGTTGCATGAAGATTAAATGACTTATTTATAAGGTAACAGGCAAAGAGAAAGTGCTACATACGTATTTGTCAAGTTAATACCACACAGAGGCTCAATATCTTCCCTGGAATAAATCGAAGACTCCTCAAATGCACCAAACAAGACGGACCACCTGAGCTCAGGGGCATTCCCAGACACTCACCCCAGCCCCAACAGTGCAGAGGGCTCCATCTACCTTGTAGCTCAGCCAGAGATTGGGGGAGCACCCTTGACCCCTCCCATCCTTCAGTCACAATGGTGATTTTGCCTCTTAAATCTCTCATCGGTGTGACCCCATCCCTTCCCCCCACCAAGTCCAGAAGATGCCACCTTCCTCACCAGGATGTGAGTGTTCTCCCCTGTTTCACTGTTGCCAGCTCCTTTGCACAAACCACCATGCAACAAAGTCAGGGGTGGGGTGACTGAAACGCAAGTCTGGTCATCGCTTCCAGTGCCCCCCAGGTCCTGGCCCCAGGGCTTGAGTCTAAGTTCCCAGCTTCCCCTTCTGTCCTCTTTTGCTGACACCACCCCCACTGTCCTCCTGCTCTACCAGTCTCCTTGCTCTTCCAGGGCCCAGGGACCCAGTGACTGTCTTGTAGTTTGGATATGATGAGTCTCTCCCAGAACACCCTTTCCTCTAGGACTCGGTCAAAGTCTCCTTCCCAAGATATCTCCCTGCCCTTCCTAGGCTGAGCTAGGGACCCTCATTTGTGCTCCCACAGTTCCCTGGCTTTTGAACCCTAAATCACCCTGTATTGCAATTGTCAGGGCAGATTCTTCTTACTTGTTTTTATGCCCAGTGCCCAGCACAGGGCCAGGCATGCAGCAGGTCCTCAGCCAATGACAAGTGAATGAGGGATTTTACTAGCCACGTTACCAGGGTACACTCTATGCCAGGGAAGGTGTGTCCCTCAAAGCTGAGGTATGTAGGAGGCAGGAGATGGCTCTGAGCAGAGGGGGGAGGAAGCAGTGGGAGATTTGGGGCAGACATTTGATCCATCAGCCCCTCCCAGGGAGGCGGGGAGGCAGGTGAAGGGGGATGCTCCCAGCCCTAATCCTCAGCCCCACTAGGGAGAGAGGAATGCTCTCCTGGAGTCACAGAGACCTGGGAAGTGGGGAGGTCAGGCCCCGCCCTTGGGAAGTCCAGTAACTGCTCCTTGACTACTACTCAGGCTGGCTGGGGTTCTCCTACCAGGAAAGCCTCAGAGGGGACCTCAACCCCACCAGCCCCAGCATACATCACCATTCTGATAGCAGGGCAGGAAGTGGGGGCACTTGTGCAAACACTGGAGAACTCAGGGGAGGGAGTGGGGCAGGGAAGAGGAGGGCTGAGGGGTGGATATCTCTGGTCTTCTTTCTCTTGAAATGCAGCAGAAGGGATGAAGAGTTCTCCCTCCCCCTAGGATACCCTGAATATTCCCTCCCAGGCATCCCCTGCCCCAGCCTACCATGCCACCTGTGCTTGGGTGAGGCGCAAGCAGCTCAGAGAACACAGAGTTCTCCTCCGTTCTTGCTCCCTTGTGACCCCTCCAGACTGGCACACTAGCTGCAGATTGGTAGGGGCCATGGCGAGAACTGCAAGGCCAGCGTGGGAGTGGTCAGTCATCAGGAGGCAGGCCTGCTGCCCTCCTTACTGGTAGTAGAGAGGCCACTTAAAACACTTGGTACCTCTGCAAGCCACCCTGGGAATGAACATAGATCAAGAGCTGTGCTGCCAGGTTCTTTTATTAGCCAAGTAGGACAAAGAACAGGTCACAACGTCACAGGAAGTAAGACCAACAGACAGACAGATACACGGAACAGAGCATCATGCTGCACTACTCAGGGGACAGGGCAGGGGGAAGGGAATCGTTTGAGTCTTGTTTCTTCAACTAACAGAATAAATAAATACAGTACACACAGTGTTTTCGCCATGGGCTGGCACAACCTCTAAGCACAAATGATCACAAAACAGCTGATTTGGAAAGCAGTCCGTATAGTCTGCCAGCCTTAGAGTTGAGGTGGGGACCCACGTCCCCGGAACACACTCTGGGGGAGTGAGGCAACAGGAAAAGGGAGACCACAAATAGGAGTGAGCAGAGAGGAATTAGGCTTTCCCAGAAGGGACAGTCAGGGATTGAGCCTCAGGCTCTCGCCCGCCCCTCAGGGTGGCCCCACAGGCCTGGGAGAGGCTCCAGCATCAGTGTTAAGGGGTTGAGCCCACCCAAGCTAGTGCCCTCTGACTCCTTGAGGACACACAGGTTTACCAGCTGCCAGGACACCCTCTGCTTGCTCTCCACCTGCTTTTAGTACTTGAGGCTGGTGCCTTAAACTGACTTGAGACCCCACCTGTACCTTCCCTGACTTTTCTGGGCTTGTAGGTTTGGGTCAACTGAATGAGAGAAGTATTAACAAAGAACTGGGATGAGCCTAGGGTGGGCCCAACCTCCTGGAGTCAGAATACGACTCCAGGTGGACTTGCCCCTTATGAGGTCAGGGGAAGCTTCCTGGAAGGGGGTTTTGATGTCTAAGGCTATTGGATTCCAAAGCACATGTCATCAGTTGTACCCAAACAGCCCCCATGCCTGGTCCAGATGAGATCTGTGTTTATTTCAGAAACAGAACTTCCTGGAGCTGACCATGGGCACAAACCAAAAACCCTCCCAAACCAAAAACCTCCTCTTGACTCTTCTTTACCAATGTCCCATTCCTTGGCTTGGTCTGTCCTCCTCTGATACTCCCATGGCTTTGGATCCACTTTCCAAATTCCAGATCCCAGCAAGACACCCCCTGCTCAGAATCCCTCAATTTGCCTACCTTGATACTTGTCACACAGAGGTGGGGCTCTTTAACCCAGATTCCAGTCCCCTTGGGCCCACCTCTCATGAAGCCTTCCTGTGATATGATCCACTTAGTTTCACCTTTCCTGTTTTGTTCAAATGGTTTTCTGGGCCCAACCTACCACTCTTCTCACTTTTTCCTGTCCAAAGCCTTCTCCATCTGCCCCATTCCAGGCTGACCTCCCAAAGATGGTGGGCATTGACTGTTCTGCAAACCAGTCTTACTAGGGCACCCACTGGAGGCAGGGGAGATAAGCCTTGGAACTTGACAAGTCTTTCAAACTTCTCTAAGCAGGGTTTGGGATTACGACAAGGAATCTGTTTAACCCATCCCCCTCTCCCTGACCATGGGCATGGAAATGGGGTGACCCTACAGGCTAGCACTGGAACTCAAGAAAAGCAGAATTAAATCTAGATCATCCACTGCCATGTCTATCTAAAAAGAACAACAACAACAACAAAAATCCAGATCATCTGAAATAGAAGGGACCCATTACACTTACTGGGAAACTGAGGCAGTGTTCACAGAGAGGTTTATGTATACTATACTCATTGCTCCACAACAAGACAACAGTAATTTTCTAATTCACTGTGCCTTCTGAGAGCTTTTCTGTGGTTATTGTGGTTGTTATGTTAAATTTAACTAAGAACTTCTGCCAAACAAGGTTGTGAGCACAGAATGCAGAATGTTGGAGCTGGATAGGATCTTCTGGGCCATCTAATTCAGACAGGGAAATGGTACCAAAGAAGCTTCAGGCTTGGCCAAGCTCACACTGCTACTGTGAGAGGAAGTCAGCTGAGCTGAGTGGCCTGGCCATAAACAGGAACATACCTCACCATGCCAGTGACTAGCCGGGCAGAATTACTTTCATAGTTGGCTCTGGAACAGGCAGTCAACAGAAGCCTGACACTATGTGCTGCTGTGTGGTTTGCATTTCACTGTGACCAGGAGCCCATGTTCAACCTTCCTGGCTCAGATGTACTCCGGGAAGAGCCAGAAACTGCTGAATGTGAAAATTCACATTGGGATTGCGGGAGAGGAGTACCAGCCCTGTTTTCTCTTAGGCACTCCTCCCCACCACCTCCTTCCAATCAGGAAAAATCTTACCAAAGAGGGTTCCAGAGCCCTGGTCAGACCTGGTGACCATTACTGACCCCAGCCTCGGGCCTTGGAGGATGCACAGGAAGGCATGCTGTCTATTCTACTGCCCACCTAGCCTGCATCCTGCCTCCACTCCCTCCTGGATCTGGGTGGGACCTCCAAACTGAGAAGAGAAAATGGCTCTTGTAGCCTTCCAGATGTCAGACCTGGGGAGGAGGTTTGTGAGGCCAGGGCTACCTCCTGCCCGCCACTCCAGGGTCTCCAATGAGGGCTTTGTTGCCTATTTGGGCATGAAATGGAATTGTTGCCTAGAGAGGGTACAAGTCTGGGAAGGAGACAGGGGCAGGCAGGGAAGAAGTAAGGAGGGAGAAGAGGACGAGAGAGATGGGAAGAAGCAGAATTACTAAAACTAAAAAGACCACGAGACACAGCTTGAGAACTGTGGACACCAACACAGCCAGCACCAGGGGGGACAGACATGAGAGGGAGACCAGAGTGGGCAAGACAGAGGGGCAGGGACAGAGAGATCAAGGGAGCTTCCAAGGAAGGGAGAGAAGAGGAAGGCTGGAGTGAGTGCAGAAGCTGTAGGTGGAGGCAAGGGTGGCAGTGGAGAAGAGATAGGAGGGGACAGGGGACCTGGGGCAGGCAGTGCCTGAAAATATAGCTTTATATATTTATATTTATATCTCACATTCCACACATCAACTGACTAGGGGGCAGAAGGGGAGGGAAGGGAAGGAGGAGGCCATACTGAGAAGGGGATCTAGCCAGCCTCTCACCACCTCCCCATTTGGCCTCCATGGGGTCCAAGCAGGGCCATGCAGAGGGATGTAGTTTTCACCTGGGGCTCTGAGGAAGGGGACAGGGAGAGACTTCCAGACCCCAGGATTCCTGGGCTCCCAAAATTAACTCCTAGAGAGCCTTCTGGGAATAACCATGGGGCTGGGAAAGAGGCACCCAAGACCCCTGGCTGGGTGGGAGGCCGGACAGTCAGTTGGGCAGCGTATCGAGTCCCAGGGAGGCCGCGTGCTGCTTGGCCCTGAGCCGCAGGTTCTCGATACTTGTGGTTTTACTGTTCAGGGCAGCCGAGGCAGGTGCCAGGCCTGCTGGGGGTGCAGGCAGCAGTGGGGATCCCCACACACCCTGGTGGGCAGCAGCGGCTGCTGACAGGGACTGGTAGTAGGACTGGCAGTGTAGTGAGCCCAGCGGGGCCATGTTGACGCCCAGGTAGGGCACTGCAGCAGCGGCGGCAGCAGCGGCAGGGGCTGGGCCCCCCACTTCAAACGATGAGTAGTGCACCAGGTTGTTAGTGGCCGCCATGTGCTGGCGAAACTGCTCCTGCAGACGGAAGAGGCTCAGCGGGGAGGAGGAGTAGGAGTGGGAGGGGCCAAGAAGGCCACCCCCTGGGGCTGCAGGAGCTATGGCCAGGCTGCCTGGGGAATCTGCAAGCAGAGAACCAAGAACCAAGTACTCAGGACTGGGGACTGGCCTGACAGCAGGGGTTCCCTTGCTTCCTATCCCTTGGCACTAGCGAAACAGGCTTTAGCTGAAACTATATCCATCCCATCTGAACCAGGGCACCCCCAGAAGTGTGGCTCAGAACGCTGAGAGGAAGGAACCTGAGGAATCTCCAGGGTTCCAGCCCAGGCTCCTGTGCCTGAATCCTTGGGGAGCCCTTGGCTCCTCCTTCCCTCCTGTCCTCAGCTCCCATCCCCTCCTATCAGGGCTCAGCTCACAGTCTCTAGGGTCTCCCTGCCTGGGCTTAGAATCTGTGTCTGAGATCTGCCTCAGGCCAGAGCTCTGTTCTGCACAAACATGGTTAGGGATGGGAGGCTTCAGCCCAGGGCAGCTCTGTGGGAAAGAGATGGGAAGGGGTTACTCAGCCCTGGAAAGATCCATCCTATAGACCCTCTCAGCAGGTGTCCCTTCCACAAGGGTCCCTAAGGAACCAGACCTCTGAGCTGAAAATACATGGAGCCAAGGCCCAAGGAAAGAGGGAATCTGGGGAGAAGTCTCTGCTGCATGTGGGAATCCTGGTACCCAGATGGTATTCACCCATCATCTGTCCTAGTTGTTGAAATATTAGAGTACTCCAAATGGTTGATAATTTTTGCCCTGGGCTTCTGACTGCTTCTCCCTGGCTCCCAGCCCCTCCCCCCCAAATCATCTAGACCTTTCCATGACTCAGCGACTAAACGTGAACATCTGGCACAGGCCTGCTATGGTCATGCCCCTGAGTGCTAGTTGTTGACTGTCCTCTACTCTGACACACGTCACATACTCAAGCCCCTGTCAGGCTGCACCTGCCTGTTCTGCCTGAGCTGGGGCCCCAGCATGACAGCAGCATCTCCCACGCCTCACCTGCCTTGGGGCTGCCCCTCTTGCAGCCCAGCCCCTTGCTCTCAGCCCCAGGGCTCTTCTCAGCTTTGGGATCTTCGGTCCCAGCCCTGGGGTCTTCCTCACGGTCCGGCTGGTCCTCAGGGGCTGACTCACTGGCCGACTGCTCAGACAGGCTCAGGTGAAGCTCAGCAGGGGCATCGCCACCCGGCAGGCTGGAGGGCTGGTCCATCTCCAGCTGGGTGTCTGGGGTTGGGGCCTCTGTCTTGCCTTCCCCATGGGAGCCCTCAGCCTCCTTCTGCTTCTGGAGCTGTTCTTTCTGCAGGCTGCGCTGCTTCTTGCGAAACTTGGCCCTGCGGTTCTTGAACCACACCTGGGGACAGGCAGAGGAGCAGTCAGAGGCGAGGAGAAAAGAAATGGGGTTGTTGTGGAGCAGGGTGCTCTGGGGAGGATGGAATAACTCTGCCTCCACCTCTAGGAAACTCACCCCCTCCATCCCTTCCAAATTGCCCCTCCTATCAACGAAGCCATCAGCGGAGGTAGCAGCTGCACCTCATCACCCACTGAGCAAATGCTGGCTCCTGGACAACCAGGAGCCAGACAGATGAGCTAGAGCTTATCTGTAAGAACTAGTTTGGGGAGCTGGGCCCTACCTGCACCCGGGCCTCAGGCAGGTTGGTGCACATGGCCAGCCTCTCACGCATCACCACATCTGGGTAATGAGTCTTCTGGAAGGTCTTTTCCAGGGCCTCCAACTGCTGAGCCGTGAACGCTGTGCGGCTGCGTCGCTGTTTGCGGTGCTGGGAGCCATAGCGGGCCTCCAAGATGATGTCTTGAAATGTACAGCCGTTGGAGGGCAAGGAGAGGGGGCCCATTTAATTATGGGAAATAGGTTTTGAATCTTAGCCTTCTCTGACCCACTCCAGCTGCAGTGACACAGGCATCTGTCAGAGCTGGATGCTGGCCCTTTGCCCTTGGAAATCACCCATCCCCTCTCCACTGGCTAAATTTTCAAAATCTCTCCATCCCATTATCTATTATGAGGACCACAGAGATCAACTCAGCTCCAAGAATGGTGTTAGGCATGTGATTGGGCAGGGTCTTTCTTATCTGGCTGGTATTGGGGATGGGTAGATATGTATTGTCCTAAGATTCTTAAAGTCTCAGACTACTATAATATTTTGAAATTACATAATGCTAATAATCTAAGAATCCACACCACAATGGTTCTACTACCCTATGGTCCTTAAATTCTGGATACTGAGGCTTCTGTGGCATCAGAGCATGAGAAGCCAGGCCATGAGCTGGTACTCACCTCAAGGTCTAGTTAAGGAGTCTCACTGGGCAAGAACTCCATTCTCTATCCTCTGCATCAAATCTCATCCTCCAGGGGACCCATTTGTCTCTGACGGCAGGACCAGAGGTTCCTGATCTTACTTTCCTGAACAGACAGCCTGATCTGGCAGGGCCCTGAGAGTTCGATAAAGGCCTGTTACACCCAGGCTTCACCCCTCTGGCTGCCTCCTCAGGGACAGGAAGACTAAGAGACTGTGCTCCAACATCATATTCTATGGTCCTGCTCACATGTCTGGTTCACAAAAACTACCCAGGATAGTGTCTGCCTGGGGCTGGTGGTGTCCAGCCTCCAGCCTTCTGCTTAACTAGAGCCTCTCCCTACTTACTGTCTCCCATCCTACCAAGGTGGATCCTGCCCTGTCTATGCTGAAGGGAGCCTGAGTTGTCTCTACCTCTGCACAGGGCTGCAGAGTTTCTCCCCTGGGGAGTCATTCACAACATCCTAAGTGGGAATGAGACAACCAAGTGTCCAGGAAGCCCCAGATTTGGGGATGTTACTTCCATTTAAAGGGAGCCCAATCCCTTACAAATCAGCCCTTTCCTAGACTAAGCCCTAAACTCATGCTGGTCACCTTAGTGCAACAGAGGGGTGAGGACTGTTTAGTCACCCCACCCTGGTAAGCAAACAACAGTACAAAGGGTAGGGTGGTCGCAGGGGAGGCCAGGCTTTCTATACCACAGGCAAAACTCCCCACTAGAAGGAGCAGCCCCTACCAACAGACATGAGCCATTCTCCCTGACTCCTTTTCCCTAAGCTCTGGCCCTTGGGTCCCAGAACACTGTCAGGAGCTAAAGTTACCACCAGGTTGAGCAGGGAATTCACTCCAAGCAGCCATAGCAGGGGCAAGACTGCACCCAGCATCCCCACACTGAGCACTGATGCCCCATGATGATCTAGAGAAGGGGTTTCCATTTTATCTTCTGAGTCCTGCCTGAAGGCCTGGCAGGGTCTAAAGAAGTAGGCTGGCCACCACCACATCCTCCCTGCCAGGCTGGCACCCCTACCTGGGCAGGGTTCTCAGACCCTGTCCCATTCTGTGCCTTGGCTCCTGCTGCTCCTCCCTCCTTGCCATGCCATTGTTTGTTTGTTTGTTTTTATTTTTTGTCAGTGCCAGGGATCAAACTCAGGGACTCCTGCATGCTAGGCAAGTGCTCTACCACTGAGCAACATCCCCACCCACCTTTGCTGTGCTTTTAGAGGCCTGATGCCTACCCCATGGTCTGCAGAAAGCCCTGACTGCACTGGCAGGTCCTGCAGCTCTGAACTGCCCACCATTCGCTCCTGTACTCCTCTATCATGCTGTCTCATGGCCCATGGGCACCTGCTCTCCATAGGAATTCCCTAAAGTCCCTGAGGACTGCCTGGCATAGACCTAGGCCCACATGGATTCAACAAAGTTTGGCCTGAGACAGGGTGGGGTGGGTGACATTGCCTTCCAAGAAAACAAGCTCCTCACCTATGTCATTGAATCCTTCCTCTACCCATTGAAAGGCAATCAAGGCAACGATCAATTAAACCAGGAATTGGGGGCAGGTAGGCTGTAGCTCCCTCCTGGTACTTCCCTTGGGTATTAGATACTAAAGACTTCTGAGCATGGCTGAGACTCTGCTGAACACCCTGTATGTGTTATCTCAATTATCTCTCAGCCATCCTATGGGATGGGCACTGCCACTATCCCAGGGGAAACTGAGTCTCAGAACAGAAGTGAACAGGAAGACCCTGCACTGACTGCAAGCTCTCCTTCCACAGCTCTCGTGTTCCAACCCCACTCATGAGTCTGAGTCTGAGTCTCCTTACACACAAAATGAAAATAATAATCTGTCTTCATGGGGATGGAACATTTTGAGAGAGAGAGAGAGAGAGAGAAGGAGGAGGACTTCACACAGTAGCTGGCACATACATGGCATTCACACCATGGAGCTATTATTACTTATTACTCCCTATGCCTACAGTTTCCTCCTAGCCCTCTTTCGGCTACTTTCAGCTGCTTTTCAGCTACTCTGGACTAGTCCAGTAGCCGTCTACCTTGGTTTCTTCATCTGCAAGTTAGCTAATGGCTACCTCTTGCACAAGCTTGTCATGGGATTTTCAAGGCACAGCCAGCACCAGGGTCCAGCACAGTGTGGGCAAATGGGCTGCACTGCGTATACAGGCACAGATTTTTGTTTAAGTGCTGCCAAAGTGAGAATAACACCCAGATTTTGAATTATCTCTGCCACGTGACCTGGGGCTCTTGGTTTTTGTTTTGTGTGTGGTGGGGGTTGTTTTGTTTTGGCATTGGGGATTGAACCCAGGAGCATTCTATCTCTTAGCTACATCCCCAGCACTGTTTTTCTTTTCAACGTGTTTTTTCAACACAATACTTTTATTTTACTTATTTTTCATGTGATGCTGAAGTTCAAACCCTGTGCCTCACACGTGCTAGACGAGCACTCTACCACTGAGCTACAAACCCAGCCCCTAGCACTTTTTATTTTATTTTTGGAGATAGGGTCTTGCTAAGTTGCTCAGGTTGGCCTCAAATTTGCAATCCTCCTGCCTCAGTCTCCCCAGTAGCTGGGATTACAACCTGAACCACCATGTCGGCTTGTGACCTGGAGCTTTTGAGCCAACCAGAATAGGCTTTCCCAACCCTCCTCTCTTTGTCTTCCAGAGACTCCTCCTCAAGGCCACGGGGGCCTAACCCCATGGTCCTGTCTCCAGGGCCCTTACCAGCCAGGCGCTCAGCCAGTGTAAGAGCGTGCACCGATGGCCGGTAGTCCGGGGCATGCTGGGCTTGCTGGGCTGCCTGCTGGTGCAGGTTGTACATGGCGCTGAGTGAGTTCATAGCATGCAGCGAGTAGCCGTTCACCCCATAGTGCTGCATAATGACATCCGCCTGCAGACAGGGGAGGAGAGAGGACATGAGGCAGAGCCATTAGATACTACCTTGGGACAGAACCCATCCACAGTCCACAGCCTGGATGCTCATGTCACCCCTAAGAGCTTTTGCCTTCCCATCAGAAAGTGGCCTGTCTTGCCCACACAAGGGGTCCAGCACTTACTCCTTCATTTACCCACTCTTTCAGTGATTCATCCAGCAGGACACCAGAATAGGATTCAACACCCTGGGCTCTAAAATCATTCTGCCTGGGCTGGAGTCTCGAGCCTGCCACTTAGGGACATTGTAACTTTGGGGAAGTCATTTAAGTTCTCTGACCCTCAGTTTACCCATCTGCAAGATGGGATTAACAATAGTACCAATCTTCTGGGGTTCCTGTGAGGATTAAGAGAAGTCTTTTCAACAGGGCCTGTTGTACTGTATGTGCTCAAAAATGTTAGTCTTGGCAGGGTGCAATGGCACACGCCTGTAATCCCAGCAGCTCAAGAGGCGGAGGCAGGAGGATCATGAATTCAAAGCCAGCCTCAGCAATTTAGCAAGATACTAAGCAACTCAGTAAGGCCCTGTCTCTAAATAAAATAGGCTGGGGATGTGTCTCAGTGACCAAGTGCCTTGAGTTTAATCCCAACTACTCACCCCCCAAAAAATTAGTCTTTGTGATTTCCCAATCCATTTGCTACTTTATGCAACCATCTCTCTGTTCAATTGCTCTTACTCATTTCTACATTCACTGATTCACTCACACACAAATTTATTCAACTGACACCCATGATGGCCCACTGGAGTGAAGTTCAGAGCTGAATTCTCACTGAGGCATTCACTCTAATGAGATAATGGACTAAAACACTAATGTGTGGGGTTAGGGATGTGGCTCGATGGTAAAGCACTTCCCTAGCATACTCAGGCCCTGGGCTGAATCCCTGATATAGGTGGTAGGGGGATCCTTAATGTGCTGCACAGACTTAAGAACACAATTGATATGATTGTTATATATTCATTGTCATTATCTCCTTTCTCCTCACCAAATCCCCAAGAAGTAAGCCTGCCAAGAACAATAAACCCCATTTGCAAGATGAGTCTACTGAGGCTTAGAGAAAGAACAGTGACATGTTAAGATCACACAGCCAGTCCAAGGACTACCCATCCACATTGAGTCAGACTCATTTTTTTGTGGCCATTGCCCACCCCCCCCCCAAAAAAAATCATCCATTCATTGAAGAATACATCCTTCCTGCTGAAATGTCCTGGTGTCCTGGATCAGTACAAGGCCTCCCAGGTCCCATCAGCCCCAGATCCCTCTGAACATTTGTGGTCCTCATCTGAGCACCCACCTGCCCCCACATCATCCTAATATATCATTTTTGGAATGTGATCCTATGTCTGCAGCCACCCAAAAATACATTGGTGTTTCCTATTTCTGGGAGGTAGAAGGAGAAGACTGGGGCAATGGCAGGTCCATTTGATTAGAGAAAGAATCTGTCCAGGTGTCTCAGCTCCCCACCCTCACTGAAGCTGACACAGGTATATATAACCAAACAACCACAGCATGCACACAAACACACCAGTCACAGACGAGCACACACGTTTCCTGCACAAACATGCATATGCAGACATTGTTGGCCATATGTTCACAGAAGTTCTCCTTCTCACTCCCACAAATGTATCATCATTACCCCCATAGTTCCGCATTCTCACCGATGCCTAATCGGGCAGCAGAAACATCTATACATAAACATCACACCACATACATTCACATATACCCCTATTCATTCAGCAAATATTTATTAAGCACCCACCTACCAAGTGCCAAAGTCCCTAACTTCATGGAATTTACATTCCAGGGAAGAAGGATGTATAACAAAGAAAAATACATGTACTGACATCAGACAGGAATAAGTGCTCTGAAATAAATTAAGGCAGGGAAAGAGAATGAGGAGCGGGAAAGGAGAGATTATTTTAGAACAGGTGGTTGGGGAAGGGCTCTCTGATGTTTGAGCAGAAACTTGAAGGAAGCCGTGAGGAGCTCTGGGGGAAAGGCTTTCCAGGCAAAAGGGACAGCGAGGACGAAATCATAAACAAGACTGTGTGTGCAGAACAGTCAGAAACCAGCACGGCTGGGGCATGGTGAGGGGAGAGAATGGAGCAGATGAGGCTGGAGAGGAGGGCCCCTTGCTGGAGGGCTTGGTGACCATTTATAAGGAGTTTGGATTTTATCCTGAGTGTGTTGGGAAGCCCACTGGGGGTTCTGAACAGGGGATTAACACATATGATCTGTTTTTAAAAGCACACTTTGGCTACTGTATGAATAGACTGCGGGGAGGGAAGGAGAAAAGTGGAGAGACCAAGCCAGCAGGCTGCTGCAGAAGCCTGGCTAATGACCACGCTGCCCTCCCTGTAGTGGAATGAGGTGGTGAGAAAAGGTCAGGTTCCGGACATAGTTTGGAAGTAGCGTAGATGTGATTGCTGGTAAGTTAGTTACACGATATGAAGATGGCAAAAAAGAACAACTCATGTTTTTGACCAGAGCCACTGTGTGAATTTGGGTCTTTTCCCAAATTAGAAGCATTGAGGAAAAAGCAGGTATGGAAAGGGAAAGAAAGAAAAAAATCAAGGTTTTGAGGGGCACATGTCAAGTTTGAAATATGAACCCAGCGTTTCAGTATGGGTATGAGTCGGGAACTGACAGATTTAGAGATTTGAGTCAACACCCACACCTGCCACCTTCCAACGACATTCACTTACAGAAGCCCCACTGTATTTACCAAAAACATAATCCAAGAGGCAGAAGGCAAACAAAGCAGATACAAATGGTGATATAAAGCATTTTAACATATGTATAACAGACTGTACTATAAACAAAGCTAAAAGGCAAATCTGAAAAAAAATGTACCACGTCTATGACATAGCAAAACTAATTAAAACCAAAAAAAGAGAGAGAAAGAGAGAGAGGGAGAAGCATAATACCAAGTACAGTGTCACATGCCTGTAGTCCCAGCAGCTCAGGAGTCTGAGGCAGGAGGATCACAAGTTCAAGGACAGCCTAGGCAAGTTAGTAAGACCTTGTCTCAATATAAAAATAAAAAGGGATGGCTCAGAGGTAAAGCACCCCTGGGTTCAATTCTCCATACCACCATAAAAAGAAAAAAAAGGAACACAAATAACAACTTTAAAATAATACACGTAAGGGCTGGGGTTGTAGCTCAGTGGTAGGATGCTCGTCTAGCACTTGTGAGGTACTCGTTTAGATCCTCAGCACCGCATAAAAATAAATAATAACATCAAGGTATTGTGTTCATCTACAACTCAAAATATTTTTAAAACTTATTTAAAAAGAATATACTTAATATATGAAGAACTCTAGTATAGAAATCAAAAAGATGGTCATCTTAATAAAAGATGGGCTAAGTTAATGAAAAAACAACTCATTAAGGAAAGAAACAAATAGCCAATTGACAAATGACAAAAAGCTCCTCTTTACTTATAACCAAAGAAAGAAGAATAGAAATAGTAAGATTTTTTTTTTTCACTAATCAAATTAGTAAATGTGAAGAACACCTATTACCCAAAGTTATCTATGGGAGTGAGAAGAAGTCTTTTTCCTACCTTGCTGATGAAAGAGCTCTTTATTCCCCGAATGAAAGCCTTCAGAGAGTGTATCATCTTTGACTTAACAATTCCACTTCAAGACGTTTATCCCTCAAGCATGCAGAGATATGTGCATAGGAATATTTTACACATCACTGCTTACAATGGAAAACAATTGGAAAGCTAACTCTCCATCAAGAGAGGATTAGTTAATAAATGAGGGGACAGTCGTGTCCACGATGGAATATGGTGGTATAGTTGAAAACGATGATATGTATATGCTGATGTTCACAGTATACTGTTGAATCAAAGAGATAGGTAACAAAACCGTATGCATGATGCAATCCCATTTTTGTAATGTGTGAATAAAAATGCATGGGAAAAGTCTGAAAGGTTGTACCCTGAAATGTTAACAGAGGTTATCTCTGGGAGATAACCTATAGAGGTGATTTTCATATCTATATCCTTTCTTTCTTTGCTTTTTTGCAGGGAGGGTAGATGAAGGGTTTTCTGTGTGTTGCAATGAATGTGGGTATGGAGCCAGGCTCCAAAAGGTGTCACAAGCTTCAGGTGAGGAAGGGGAAACAGAATTTAGAAGTAATTTTATCCATCCCCTCCCCTAGCCCTGTGGCTACAATGCCCCTCCCCCACCAAACTCAGGCCTTGTTGCTCTAATGTTAATGTGGTAACATTTTAATTGACTTAATGATTGCTGATCTCACAGTTTTTGACACACAAGACTTCTTTATTAACCAAAGCCAGAGAGAAACCTTGCACAGCCTTATGAGCATCAAGCATCGCAGCACCCTGAAGACCTTCCCAGTCTGGATTCCCCCCAACCTCTCCCTCTGGCCTGAAGCTCTCCCTCTCCCTAGCACCTAGCAATAACAGACTACCTGCCCCTTCTTGTCACCTCCATGCCTTTCTCCTGTTGGGCCCTTGACCTGAGACACTTTTCTCCTTCCTTCCTTCCCTTCACCTCACAAAATCCTCCCTCTTCAGAAGGCCCCTCCTTTAAGGATGTCTCCTCAGAAAAGAGATGCCGGCCCACACCTGTAATCCCAGCAGCTCAGGAGGCTGAAGCAGGAAGATCACGAGTTCAAAACCAGCCTCAACAATTTAGCTAGGCCCCAAGCAACTCAGTGAGAACCTGTCTCTAAATAAAATACAAAAAAGGGCTGGGGGCAGATAGGGTTGTGGCTCAGTGGTACAGTGCTTGCCAAGCATGTGTGAGGCCCTGGGTTCAATCCTCAGCACCACATAAAATAAATAAATAAAACAAAGGTATTGTGTCCAACTACAACTAAAAAAAATATTTTAAAAAGTGTGGTGAGGGTGCTGGGGATGTGGCTCAATGGTTAAGTGCCCCTGGGTTTAATCCCTGGTACAAAAAAAAAAAAAAAAAAAAG